TGAGCTTATATATTTAAAAATGTCCATAGTTAAGAAAATACAGTCCAATTTAACGAGAGACTTTATTTAATGAAACAATATTTTTGTTTCTTTATAATTCAAAAATACGACTGCAATAAATTTATTCTATTTATTGTAACCAAAATTTTTTTTCTGGTTAATTCTCAAATTAAATAAAAAAAAAAAAAATTGCTAAGAAATTGAGCGAATTGGAGAATAATTGAGTTTCTACCCACGCACCAATAAGCAGCTTATACACTTCAGCTTCTACATAGTAATAATAATAAAAATAATGTTTAATAATAATGATAATGCTCGAGTACTTAGATCTAACAATGTTGATTATAAAAAAATTTAATAGTGAGCCGCTGAGACTTGAACCGTATCAATATCAATGATCATTAAAATAATGATAATAACAACTATGATGATGATGATAAAAATAATACCGACAAGATGGCCCCGGTTTTAAAAGTTTAAGATTAAAATGATGAGTTTATTTGGGGGCGCTGTGTGGATCTTTGAGCTAGCTCGGTTTTATTAATTAGCATTTATGCACTTAACTATTCGGAGGGTAGAATGGGTACCAAAGTAGGATAAAGGTGGAAGAGATGGAAATGGAATAGAAGGATGAGTAATTCATACGATCGACAAGGCAAACAACCGCAAGCGAGACCTCAGCCAAACGATAATCCAAGTGCCAGACGAGCGTATAATCTTATCTTTATAATATATATATATATATATATATATATATATATATATATATATATATATATTATATTATACATGTACTTCTATGTACTCCGGGCTAACTGTACTGCTATTTGTTAAGACGAATTAAGTTTTATTTTAAAACTTTGTCAATTAGATCATACAGAGTTGCAAGTAATTTATTATGTTTTTGTTAGTTATTTAATTTAATTTTTTCAATAGTAAAATTATTCAATTTTTTTAATTTAAAATTTGTTATATTAATTCAATTATATTTTTAAAGGGTAAATTTTGTTTGTTGAATAATGAATTTTGTTAAATTGCACTGTACTTTCTTAACTATTGACGTTTTTTAAGATATAAGCTCATCCTGGTATTACACTCGTCAAGAGCTTTTATTTGAATACCCACATGCATTTTTTATATATTTTTCATATATACATATATGTAATATACATAAATATACAAAATATATGAAAAATTGATGTGGGTACTCAAATGAAAGGTCTCGATGAGTGTAACATCGGGATGAGCTTATATCTTAAAAAATGTCAATATTTCTCAAGATACAAGGTAATTTCTTAATTATGTATCTAGAGATTAATAAATTTTTATCTAAAAAACCCGTCCAATTATTTTTGTAAATTAAATAAAAAAAAAAAAAACGTAATTGATAAGTCTGAATTCGACGGGAGTTAGCTCAGAAGAGAAAGAGAAAGAGAAGGGGAAGGGGTTTTTACGGGTCGGGAGATCTGGGGTTAGGTAACCACAGAACGAAGCGTCGGTAGCAATAGAGGGTAGTCTATGCAAATATATAGGCAGCACAGTAGGCCAAAGAGGATGAGGGTGGAAAGGGAGGCGTTGTCCCGTGCCCCTTGTCGTAATCCGAACGAGCGACCCCAGGAGACGGTTGTACGTCCCAACGAGCTTAGAACCCGCGAGATGCCACAAGAGGCAATTAACCTTCCGGCGCCCATCCTCCATCCCCATTTCCATCCCCTGAGGATCCTTCGGGGCCTCTCTCTCTCTCTCTGTCTCTCTCTCTCTGACTTTCCATCTTCTCTCTTAGCAGCACTCGCGACACTCCTACAAAGTATCTACACAATGTCTCTGCACTACACAGCTGTGGTACTACACCAGTAAACCTCTCACCAATTTAACTCACTGCTATGTACTATGTACTTGGTAATTCCTCTTGTGAGTACAATCGAAAAGGCTCGTCATCGTTTTGATTGGATATACTTGACATTTACATAATCTCCTCCTTTCTGTCCCGTCTAATTAAATATTTAACTCTGCTTTACTTTATTCAATCAATTTTTTTTTTTTAAATAGTAATTAATATCAATTTTAATTAAAAAATTTATTTATTAATTTATTTATTTAAAAATAATTTTTTTTTCAATTTTAATAAGTAAAATTTTTATTATTAATTTTTTAAGAAAAGAAATTTAATTATCTAAATTTTGAATTAATTCAAATATTTTTGATATTAAAATTTAAATAAATTATTAAGATTGATTTTTAAAAAATTATTAATTTTTTATGAAAAAAAAATTTCTTTTGCAAAATTTTAATAAAAAAATTGAATAATTTAATTTAAATATTTTTAATATTTAAAAAAAATATTAATAAGGAAAAATTATTTAAAAATGATCAAATTTGACTTTTAAAAAATTATAAATTTATAAAAAAAAATTTTTTTGAACAATTTTAATAAAACATAACAGAAAAAAATTGAATAAAATTAATTAAAATATTTTTGACATTCAAAAAAAATATTAATAAGAAAAATTGAATAAAATATTAATAAATAATCAAATTTGACGTTTGAAAAATTATAAATTTATTAAAAAAATTTTAATAAAAAATTGAATAAATTAATTCAAATATTTTTGATGTAAAAATTGTAAAAAATATTAATATAGAAAAAATCAAAAATAATTAAATTTGACTTTTAAAAAATTGTAAATTACAAGAAAATTTTTTTGCAAAATTTTAATAATAAAATTGAATAAATAAAAAAATTAAATAAATTAATTCAAACATTTTTGGTATTAATATTAAAAAAAAAAATTAAATAATTTATTAGAATATTTTTTAAAAATTATTAATTTTTTATAAAAAAAAATTTTTTAGTAAAATTTTATTAAAAAATGACAAAAAAAAATTAATTCAAATATTTTTACTTTTAAAAAAAAATTAAATAAATAATTAAGTTTTACTTTTGAAAATCTATAAATTTATAAAAATTTTTTTTTTTATTTTAGTAAAGAAAAAAATTGAATAAAATTAATTAAAATATTTTTGACATTCAAAAAAAATATTAATAAGAAAATAGCAACGCAATGCAATGCATAAGCTTGCAACGTGAGTAAGTGAGAGCTTTTGATAGTTTTGGTAGAGGTAATAGCCCGTTATCCCGTGCAGTAGTACTTTCCTTCTCGCTAATACCAAAGAACTCTCGCCCGAAGAACTATGGAACCGTTTATCGCTTGTAAATCTTCCCGAAAGTACTATCGCCACACGTACTCGCGTTTTATATAAATGCCTCTCATTTATTCTTCCCATTATTTTTCTTATTTTCCGGTGCAATTCTTCCCCGTCAATTACTAAATAAAAATAACGACCTCATTATTTTCATCATCATCACTATTGTCACAATTTAATTCAATTGTTATTATCACCATTATTATTCAAGTCCGTTCTTATCTCACAAGTCATTTGTGTTTCGTTTGATTTCATTTAAAAACTATTTTTACCTCGTTTGTTACTTTTTAAATTCCATTGAAATCAGAGACTAGCGCTGAAAAAAAAAAAAAGTAAGCGAGTCTCATGACTTCCTATGTATTTTTTATTTTATTTATTCGATCGCCAGAAAACGACCGCGAAATCTCCTAGGCTGCAAAAAATCCTGAGTGGGATCAGGTCAAGCGGTTCGTCTATACTACTGTTGTAGTAGTAGTGTCGGATGATCCGGCTCAACCTGAAGCGACTCAAAAAAAAATAAAACAAATATATATAAAGCGTAAAATAAAAAAATTTTTACTTAACCAACGCAGCAAGGCTATTGTACTTAATCTAATGAGTTAATTAGTGATGGTCAAAGCAATTATACGGAAAGTATTACAAACATCCGGGTGAAAAAAATTTTTAAATATTGGAAAAAAAATTTTATTTTTTTTCTTTAAATAAGGAGATCCATTTAAAGAATGTCTAAAAAATTAATACTTTTGTTATGTATTTTTAAATTAATTTGAAATTTTTAAAGAAATTTAAGAAAAATTTTGTCTCCATACATAATTAAGAAATTACCTTGTATTTTGTGAACTATTGACATTTTTAAAGATATAAGCTCACCATGACATTACACTTGTCGAGACCTTTCATTTGAGTACTCACATCAATTTTTCATATATTTTATATATTTATATATATTATATATATGTATATATGAAAAATATATCAAAAGTGCATGTGGGTACTCAAACGAAAGCTCGTGTGATGAGTACAATATCGGGATGAGCTTATATCTCTAAAATATATGTTATATATATATTACATAATTAAGAAATCATGCTGTATTTTGAGAACTATTGACATTTTTAAGAATATAAGCTCATTATGACATTACACTCGTCGAGACCTTGCATTTGAGTACTCACATCAATTTTTCATATATTTTATATATTTATATATATTATATATATGTATATATAAGAAATATATCAAAAGTTCATGTAGGTACTCAAATGAAAGCTCGTGATGAGTACAACATCGGGATGAGCTTATATCTTAAAAAATGTCAATTTTTAAAATAATTACAGTGGAATTTAACAAAAGTAATTTTTTAATCAATTATTAGGTTACGTAGACAAATTTACAAATTTTCAATTGGATCTCCTTTTTTCACAAAAAAAAATTTCAGACGTTTGATACTTTCACTATCACCAAAACTTTCACACAAATTCATGAAATAAAATTATTAAAAAATTTCAAATCATGATTCATTTCATTTAATTAAAATTCCCACCGTGAGTCCGCTTTTTGATATAAAATCCGCGACCCGATAATTTAAAAAATAAAAATCGAGCCTTTCGGTTTCGGTTTCTGCTCAAAGAGCTGCTGAGCGGAAATCGAAATCGTAATTAAATATTTTGACATCGTGCAGTCTCTTGTTCCTTATTTAATAACTTAAAGGAACAAAAAAGGGCGCGAGTGTTGAAAAATATTTTTTTAATTATTAAAAATTAATTAGCGATTGTGGCGATAAATTTATGAGCTGATTAGAATCGACGTGAATAGCCGGCGTCGTAGAGCTTGCAAAGGCTGTCGGTGCGACTGGGAATACCAGAGTGAATCCCGGGGACTGATACCGAGACAGAGAGCGCCTCTTGGTGCTTGAGAATTTGCTTGCGTCGCTGCCAGGTGAAGGTCCACGCGGCAATCACAACTATCTGGGCGATTATGAACACTGTGCCGGTAATTATCGCCTCGGCCATGTTGATACACAATCCGTGGACTCCGGGCATGTCTTGGGACTCGACGAACACCGTGTCGCGGGACTGGGACGTCAGATTACCAAGAGGAGACTTTCCGTCGCGCTCGAACCCGAATTTGTCCGTGATCTGGATTGATTGGACCAGCAAGAGGTCCTCGCGGGAGAGAGATGATGCTGAACGACGTCTACGTCTTCGTCCGTAGCTGATTACTGATCTCAGTTCTCCGGTTGACTCTTCCTGGTCGCACTGTACTGGCTCGCAGCTTGGCATGCATGGAGTTACTAATGCACGGAATTGGACTACTTCTGAACTTGGGAATTTGAAGGCGTCGAAGTGAGACAGAAGAATCTGAAAATAATTGAATTTTTTTAATTAATATTTTTAATACAACAATCAAATTTATTCTACAGACACGCAATTGAGAAATAGTCAATAGTTAAGAAAGTACAGTGCAATTCAACAAAATTCATTATTAAATAAAGCAAAATTTTATTTATTTATAGTTCACTAGTCACGGCAGTCACATAGTGACTTCATGGTTGCTAGTATATATAAATAAACAAAATAATGGTCATCTATTACCAAGGCTCTATTTTTCGAGCTCGAGTTTCATTAATAGAGGGTATGTCCGTCACGTACCGGACCCAAAGCTCGGCAATACGTATAAAGAAAAGGAACCAGATGAAAACGTCTAATAAAATTGCAATCATTTTTCAAACTAAGACTTTTGCCTAAAACTTTTTAAATAAATCACATTTTTCATTTAAGCTCAGGATTTTAGATTTTATGTATTATATATATATTATATCTTCTACCAAGAATTGAATTAATCGTTAATTTATACCGGGATGGCTTTTAACATGAGTAATATAATCTCGTTGAAAGCTTCGATAAAATTTTCACCGACATTATAATCCACCTAGGAATCGGCTCAAGATGATTGATTGCTCGCCACGTGGAACTCTGTTGTGCATGGGAAGATCATTTATCATTCGGTTCAATGCGCCCTTTAGTTTCACTCTATCCTTATAAGTTTTATTTATTTATTTATTCATATCCCACATTATTTTTATATTTTACTTTTAAATTATTTTATAAAACGAATATATCTATCTTAAATATTTTCGGAGATACAGTCATCGGTTACACTCATCAAGAGCTTTCATTTGAGTACCCACATGCATTTTTTATATATTTTTCATATATACATATATATATGAAATATACAAAATATATACATAAATATATGAAATATACAAAAAATTGATGTGGGTACTCAAATGAAAGGTCTCGATGAGTGTAACGCCAGGATGAGCTTATATCTTAAATAATGTCAATAGTTCACCAGATATAAGGTCATTTCTTAATTAATGACATTTTTTGGCTACTGGCCACAAAACATTGCTTATTCTTTTAATAATATAGATTTATAATATTTATTTTAGTGTCCCGAAATGGGAAAAAGAGAGACTGGTAATTTTTCTAAAGTATCCGCTAATAAAAACAACTTGGCTCGTTATTTTTAACAGCCTTACTATACGCTAGTGACCTCCGCCCGCAACCAGAGGACACTAACGTGTATTTTATCGATGTCAAGAATAGTTGCATATGTTCTTCCTGTTCCCGTTAACACGCATAACATTTTATCGTTCTGTATTCTGGAAAATACCCTTTATTTTTCTGTCTCTGTCTGGTTTGTTTTACTCTTTGTCTGCTTTTGATTGTCTCTATCCGCGTCCCCCTTTAGCGAAGCACACCCCATCCCCCATCCCCTATCAACGCGTTCGTTCCCGTGTGCATACTTTGTCATTTTGGTATTCTAACTGATGAAAGGCTCCCGCTTTCATCTGCTCCAACGTTTGCTGCCATTTATATTTCTCCCGAGCTATAAAATTTAACACAAAAAGATAATAAACGAACAAATACAAATACAGATACCGGATTACACGTTACAATAAAATACCTATTCGACATCTAACTATTTACACATTCAAATCTCATATTTTTACGGCCTATTTGCCCCTGACACTACCCACTAATTCTTTGCTTTTATTATTCCCCTATCAAATTATTCTTTTTTTTTTTTTTTTAACAGCATTAAAAAAATTATTTTTTATAATTTTTTTGGGTTAACAATTTTATTTAATTTATCAAGATTATTAATCTGTTTTTATTTGATAGATTTTTTATAATTTTTAATGCAATTTATATGAAAATTAATAATTAACGAATTTTGGTTAAATTAAATAATGACTTTTGTTAAATTGCACTGTACTTTCTTAACTATTGACATTTTTAAAGATATAAGCTCATCCCGACGTTACCCGATGAGTGACTTGAATACCCTATCAAAAATATCCATCTAGGAAACCAGCCTGGATTTCCACATGGCGTTTTCGTATAGATTCCCATATGGTTTCCTATATAGGAATTCAGGGTAGGATCCTACATAGATTCCCATATTAATCAGGCGAAAAAAAATGTATTTAAAAAATTAAAAATAATTATGGAGTAATTGATATTAATTAAGTATTAATTGAAATTCATTCTGAAAAACGGATTTTGTAATTTTATCTAATGAAAAAACTGCTTGCGTCTGATGGACTTGAACCCGGTACCTCATGGTTGACAGTCTTCTACGCCACTCACTGGCCTAAGTCACTCTTACAAGGTCTATGTTTATTCCACTTATATAAATTCACTACAGGAATCCATACTTTCCTATGTAAACTAATGTGGATTTTTTTGATAAGCCAAAAAAGTATTCATAACTAAATTATCTAGATGTCTGATTTGAAATTCCGCGGATAATTTTCAATAAATAATCATGGATTAAACATCTCAATTAAACCATATATTCCTCAGTGACTTATAAATTTACAACCTTAATTAAAGAAGAATTTAAAAAATAATCAACAGCGGGATGAATTTAAATAGCGCTGTTAAAACGGTGGTATGAAATGTTAATGCTGTTAAAGGCAGGATGAAATAAAGATTAACAATAATAATAACAGTAATAGAAATAATAAAAATAATAAGACAGTGAGCAAATGATTGTCAGATCAGACAAGTTGTTGACTGTCATAATTTATCTGGCATGCGCGGATAATAAGTGTAATATAACTTGGGTTGATGGGAGATAAATATGCAGATGGGCTGACAAAGGAAGTAAGAGCATCAGCTGTTCAGAGAGTGCTGGTTAAGATGATGACGGGTAAGAAAATATAAAAAAATTGAAGCTTGAAGACTGACCTTGCCGTTGGTGGTGGCCTTATAAAGCGGGCCCATGATGACGTGGTCTGTGGGGCAGCCCCTGGCGTCAATCAGGACGATCTCGCTGGAGTCGACTCCGTCCATTGCGACCAGCTCGCGAACAAAGATTTCGTAGGGGCTGTTGGGGTCCAGGATCTCGAACTTGAGGGCCAGGGGGTCTCCGACTTCCGCAGATGGCATGCCGTCGTTTCCGTTCCGGTCGGTGATCTTCATTGCGACGTTCGGGGAGTCAACAATCACCTCCTCGTAGAGCGCCGGGGTGATGTCTCCCTGGACACCCAAGTCGACTTCGTTGGAGACCGTCTTGTTCGTCAAGTCGTACTGGCAAGTCACCGCCAGTCCCAAGTCCGAGCTGGTCACGATTGTGTCGTGGTGCTGGATCACCACGTCGTTTAAGTACCGGCCCAGCCCTTGGGACCGCACGTTGCACTCCAGATCGTCGTACGCCATTCGCAATTCAAATTCCAACGCCCCCTTTATGTCCTTCACGCAGGAATTTGGTGAGCCTTTAGCGTAGACTTTACCGTTGAACAGCTTGGATGTTTGAATTCGCGCTACCATGTCGCCGGCTCGGCAGTCTATTGTCACGTTGTAGCAAGAGCTTAATTCGTAGGTTGAAGCTTCTGGGACGTCTAAATAGGGTTCCTGAAATTTTATTTTAATTTTAATAAAATTTTTATTTTTTTTTTAATTAGATTTATTGATTTTTTAGAAAAATTATAGACATTAAAAATTTTTTTGGATCTTACAGTAATTAAGTTATTATATAAAAGACTTGTGAAATATAAAAAAATGAAATTTTGATAATGATCTTTGTTAAATTGCATTGTACTTTCTTAACTATTGACGTTTTTAAAGATATAAGCTCATCCTGATGTTATACTCATCAAGAGCTTTCATTTGACTACCCACATGCATTTTTGATATATTTTTCATATTTACATATATATAGTATATATTTATATATATAAATAAATATAGAAAATATATGAAAAATTGATGTGGGTACTCAAATGAAAGGTCTCGATGAGTGTAATGTCGGGGTGAGCTTATATACTTAAAAATGTCAATAGTTCACAAAATACAAGGTCATTTCTTAATTATATAGGATATATAACATATATTTTAAAGATATAAGCTCATCCTGATGTTACACTCATCAAGTGCTTTCATTTGAATACTCACATGCATTTTTGATATATTTTTCATATATACATATATATTAGGATATATAACATATATTTTAAAGATATAAGCTCATCCTGATGTTACACTCATCAAGTGCTTTCATTTGAATACTCACATGCATTTTTGATATATTTTTCATATATACATATATATCTATATCTAAATATATAAAATATATGAAAAATTGATGTAGGTACTCAAATGAATGGTCTCGATGAGTGTAACATCAAAATGAGCTTATATCTTTAAAAATGTCAATAGTTCTCAAGAGACAAGGTCATTTCTTAATTATGTTTCCTGAAGACAAAATTTTTCTTAGTCTTTTAATAATATAGATTTTAAAAAATTGTAAGCTAATTTTAGTATTATAAAATTAGACATAATTTTCAATTAGATATTTTATAATAATTAATTTTTTTAAGAAAATAAGTCTTCTCAATTATTTAAAACAACAGAAATAAAATAAAAGAAACTTTTAGAACTTCTTATTAAAAAACTTAATTTTAATAAATTATAAAAGTTGTCTTTTTTAATGTTATTTTTATCAATGATACCTTAAAAAAATTTTATTAAAAATATTTCTTTTGCGGAAAAATTAATTAAAATAAAATAAAATAATTACAACTTTTTCCTAAAAAAATAAAAAATAAATTAAAAAATCAAAATAAAAAATTAACTAATTAAAAAAAAATAAAAAATAAATTAAATAATAAAAAAATAAAAAATAAATTCAATAATAAAAAAATAAAAAATAAATTCAATAAAAAATAATAAAATATAAATTACATAAAAAAAAATAAAAAATTAATTAAATAAAAAAAAAAAATAAAAAATAAATTAAATAAAAAAAACTAACCTGAATATCAGAAAGAGTAGCTCTAGCATGATGACTGAGTCTGCATACCATATCACCAGTGTCACCATAATCATAAGAGTGACAACGGAAGGGAGAGTTAAGACACAATTCACGGCACTCATCCGAAGTAGAAATATCCTGATGAACTGAATCAACAGTCTTTAAAATCCTTCCAGTAAGTTTCTTGAACTCGCAAAGCTTAACAGGCTCATCGACACAGTGGTTCTCGAGATAATCGAAGCCCTTGGAAGTCTGGAATGCGCTGGAGCCGGCAATCGTCAGACGATCCATGTCCGATAGCTCACATACTTTTGTTGCGTTGGCATAATTCGCAGATCTAAAAAAAACAAAATAAGAGATTAATTAGCTAGGTTCTAGAGGAATGTGTTAGCCTGAAAAATAAGATAGTCGTAAAGTCACGAGAAGATCGCGTGTTGACTGGAAATCTCCTATCCCGTATTTTCTTCTCGCGTCGCGTGCCAACTCGCGATATATATACAATCTTTTTATTTTATTCTTTATAGCTAAAGCGTGGTCTGTTCTTTCTCTCAACAGAGAGTAGAGAGCTAAGAGGCCAAGTAAAGCTTAATAAGAAAAATCGATCATGGCCCGACTATCGAGAGGAATCGCTTCTATATTATACCCAACAAAACTTCCCATCTGGATTCGGATTCGATGTGTACGGCAAAGCAAATCACGTAATCATTTTTTTTAAGGATCATGCAGCTTAAAGATGAGAACTTTGATCTTTAAGAGGTACGGATATCCTATTTATATATCATCTCTCTTACTCTCCCTTTAATTTAATTATTTAATGCCATTGATATTAAACACAATATATATATATTCAAGCCTGAAGATCCTCTATTTCCTTGTGAGTAATCAATCTTAATGTTAATTTATCATTGAACGCAAGTTTCTTGTAGACTTATAAGCATGTATATTATATCAAAGTCTCCTGTTAGTTCTATATATAGATATATATATATATATATATATATATATATATATATATATAT